CTCTTCCGATCTCCCCCCCCCCTCTCACTTTCCCCATTCCACCAGTAGTTGATAAAATTTTCAAGTACACAAATTTTTTCTTTTAAAATTTAATTATTTATTTTTTATAATTAAAAACATGGATGCTCTATAATTATTTTTACTTATAAATTCATTTAATAATTTATCAATGTCATCCATTACAGCTTCCGTTAAATCTCTATGGATATGTAATTTACGTGAATGTGGATTTTTTCGGGTGTGGAAATTCACACTCATCTGATTTTGGGATGTGGATTGCTCCACACAATCCACACATAAAACGCCGGGCCTGTTTCCAATTATAAATTATTCTATCTATACATCTTTTCTATTTATTTTATTGTACGATCGCAACAAAGATTTAACATTGCTTGTAAATTCCAATCCACATTCAAACTTACTTGAAGAGATGTTTAAGTATATTTGCACCGCCTTGTGTGGTCAATAATTTCTCTACCGATGTAAATGCAGTTTTGACACTCTTAACGCAATTTTCACTATGTCTGCTGAGCGATTTCGCCACGACCTCATAGTACTCTACGGAATCAAGCATTCTTATAGAGGACATCATGGGAATATACTTGGAGAGGACTATTTAATTGTCGAGCAATTAATTTACCGTAAAAATCGAGCTTTGCTTGAACTGGCGCGCTGCTAGCTAAGGCACCCTGTGAAAAATATTTTTCCCAATTTTATTTCTTCTCTATTTTTAAAATATAAATATATACATATTTAAAATATAAATAAAACGATAACGCAAACAATACTTGGATCAGGTGAGGATATTTGAGACGCGCCCACGCCGCCATGTTTCCAGCGTAAGAACCACCGACTACTATCACGATACTCTTTTCTAAATTATTCTCCTCTTTCTTCGTTTCTATGAAATAAGCGAGATCGGCGAGAGCCTGATCGACGTTCAAGTACTGCATGTTTTCCGTGCTAAGGTCTCTAAATCAATTAATATCATAAGGGAAGGAGGGGGCAAATAGTGACAGGGGGCAAATAGTACTAATAGCCACTTTAAATTTCTCCTCTTTCCCGCGTCTATTTTACCACTACTCGTTAATAGAAAGACAGTTCTCAAGCATCTAATCATCTTCTTAAAAAAGCCGTAAAATCAAAAGCCAAATACAGCTATAGCGGAGAAGTTTAAAATTTTGCA